CTGTAATTTCCTTCGTGGATGTGTTAGTCGTTGTTCCAAAAACAGGGTCTTCTAACTTGTAAATATGGGTCTATATTCTAATATATGTATTGTTAGTTTTCCGAATATTCATAAGTTGCTTGTTTGTTTCTCCTGGAGTGGGAGTTTTTTAGAGACGTTTCGTCAAACTCTCATTTAACATCTTCGATGCTTCTTATTCCAAAGTAGCATCTAGAAATAGACTTAGTGTGTCGACGAATAAAAAACCAAGAGGAATATTTAGGATGTCATCTTTGATATGATGGATAGATGATTCAGAAAGTAAAGATGGTAGGAAAAGAAGAAGAAAGTTGGCTTTTAGTTAAGACAAAAAAAAAGAAGTTCGAATTTGATCAGTTGTTAAAAGAAGGTATATAACCTTAAAAAATAAAATAATAACAATAATAAATAAAAGTGCCAGCTAGAGATTTGAAAAAAAAAGTAGTGTTTGTTTGTTTCGCAGTCTAAAAAAAGAGAAGAATCGTTTGTGAGCAAAAGGTAGTGTCTATAAAATATTTCAATTTATTTAAGCTCTTTACTACAACCCAAGAAAATATATTCAGCAAAATTAACTGTTAGAACAGAGGCCTATCTATATATCGACGATATATCGACGATATCGTTCTGCTCGTTAATAATCCAGCAGAACTACAAGAACTTATAAACGGCTTTATGGAGCTAGCAATAATGTTGACTATCAATAAAAAAACTTTCACAAGTCTCCCTGGTGAGTGTAAACCACGAAATACATAAAGAGAGCGTTGAAATTTGAATTAAAAACAAATGCAAGTGTCGTAATTGTAGTATCGTTTATCCCATTAGTTTTTGTCGCAAACGACGAATCGTAGCGCTGTTGCCGATGTAAAATATCCTCTATGTATGGTCTATTTGAAACCATGATATTAAATCCTATGCTAAATATTTTTAGGTTCAACTCTTCTAATTTTTGAAGTTGTATTATAATTCTAAAATAAAACTCACGTGTAAATGTCGCAATGTTTTTATTTATTTAATGCCATTTAGTCTAGTGCTTACAATAATAACGCATATCTACAGTTAGATCATTTATACAGACATCACACTACTTTTTTTATATACTTACAAGAAAAATTGCTTTTTTTAATCCAGAATCCAAGTTCATTCGAACAACAACTTCAAGGATCAAAGCGCGAACGATATACTTTAAGATTCTAGTTGCTCGTGCAGCACCTTAGATTTTTTCTACGACTAATTATAAATAATAGAATAGAGTTTAAAAAAATAATAAATAGAGATCTTTAGGTCGCTCTGTACAAGGATATAGGGAATATAATTTACACCTGAATGAACTTGGGCTCTTTTATTTAAGTACAAAGTTGAAATTTATCACTAGAGTTCCTGTGTTCACTAAATCTAAGTACTGTACATATTTTGTTCGCTCAGGGTTTTGTCTTTGGAACTTCAACATTTTAGAACATATTTACAAAAGTGATGAGAATTCAGGCAGAATTATTGGTATTGATCACTGAAAATGTAGATTTAGTACAATTTTTAATTTAAAATCAAGAAAAGTAAAGACTAACAGAAAATAAAACTGTACAGGGTGATTCAAAAAGGTTTGCATAAATTAAATCATACATTCCAATGCAATAAATTGATTCAATCCAACTTACTTTAGTACAAAAGTAACTCAAAAAAAGTTACCCCTTTGAAGTTACAAAATAAAAATGGTTTTTTTGCTTTATCTCTTAAACTACTTTACATTTTGTAATAAATATGAACACGTTACTTTCTTCTTATTCTGAAAGCATTTTTCATAAAAAAGAAACAACAAAATCTAAGCGCACAGAAAAAATTGCACACGGGGATGTGCATCCCTAAATCCCTCCAAACTTTTGAGTACGTTCAAATCAAACGAATTTTGTGGCATCATTAGTTTAACACATTATTTTTAAAACTTTTTTACCTCTTATTTATTTCATTCATTATCATTTATTGTGTGAATAAGATTAATATTAAAAATTTTGGTATTACAATTGCCTACACATTTCAGGAAATGGCAGATCTGCATTTAACTTCGGGTAAGTTGGATCAGATTAAATTATCATTTCAATAAATTATCGGGAATATCGTAGGTGAATGTCAAGGAAATAGTGCAGCAGCCGCAAGGCGTTATGCAGTAAAATACCCCACTCAAAATACACCCGATAGATGATTATTTCTGACCATTCATCGTAGTTTACGGGAAACGGGTACAACCCAACCGGGATTTGCTTGCAATAGTGGTCGTCCAATAATGGATGCAACTGATCAAGACATTTCAGAAATCATTGAAGAAGTCCCTGGAACAACTATAAGCGTAATGCTGCTCAACTAAATGTTCCTCACCTAGACTAAATATTCCTGGAGGCGTTTGAAGGATCAACTGCTTAAACCATATCACTTAACAACGTTTCAAGAGTTATTGGTTGAAGATTATCCTAAAAGGATTGGATTTTGCGATTGGTTGTTAACGGAAAACACTCGAAATCTTAATTTTATTAGAAATATTTTGTTTACCGATGACGCTACCTTCAGTAGAAATCGAATAACAACCATTATAACGAGCACATTTGAGCCGACGAAAATCCTCACGCCAAAAAACGACTCATCACCAAATGTTTAGAAAAGTGTCAAGACTGTTTAAATATTTTAACAAAGTCGTTAGAATAGCATTGAATTAGATCACATTACAGTACAGTAACAGAAAAATATTAAATGAACAAATATGAAAAGAATTCGTAATACTTTCTCAAACATTGTCGAAAAAAATATGTAAACCTGCCATTTTGTCCCAGGACGATCAAGTTTGTGAGGATATTTATAAGGCATTTACTTTCCGAGAGTCAACAGGCAGATTTTCTGTTCTTCTACCGTTTCGACAATCCAATCCTGTCTTTTGCGATAGTTATTCTCAAGCATATCGTCGTTTTTGCATGTTAGAGAATTGTTTTAAGAAAATTCAGGATCTCAAAGAGAAATATGTTGAGTTCATGAATGACTATATTCCTTCCTGTTATTTCATAAAATTGTACTGGCTAGCTTATTTATTAAGTTTTAAGTACAGAGAATTTGGCTTTCTCCTTTGTATTTTGTGTCACGTAAGGTTTCGTATTACCGTGACAATTAACTTAAATTATCGCCACTCAAAGTCGCAATACAATAGAATGATTTATTGGTACACCCTCTTGGACCACCACGTAACGGTTAGAGGGTTCCTTAGTCCTGACCATCCGAACGTACACTTCAACATAAGACAGTGAACGACACGGACCTAGTTTGAACGGTTCTCGTGCTTTAACCTCGGCGTCCCGGGCGTCGGGATGCACCGCGACCAACTCTTCCGCCTGTTACAAATACATCGATAGAACCAAAGGGGGTTGACGTTGACCCATGACCCAGTTACTAACGATGACAGTGGCAGTCTTACTGGATCATCGGTGGCTCCACGAGATGTTGGGGGTTTATAAAAGAGAAAATGTATTTTGCAACAATAGAGGACAAACAACAGTTGAGGGTTAGAATAATTGAAGCTGAAAATCAATTTCGTCAGAAAAATATGATTTTTCAGCGCATTCGATTTTCCTTATTAAAACGATACCGAATGTGTATTGAAGAAAATGGAGGTCATTTTTAACAATTATTGTAATATCATATTTATATAGGTTATAGACATTTTTTGTACTTGTTATTTCATTTAAGCCATTTATTTAGTTGCACGTAATTTTTTAAAAGTTAATGAAAAGTGTCGTAACTCAATAAAAATTGTTTTTTGAAAAAAGTGATAAGGCAAAAATTTTTAAAAAATAATGTGTTAAACTAATCGTGCCACAAAATTCATTTGATTTTAACGTACTCAAAAGTTTGAGATGATTTAGGGCTGCACTTAAAACCTTTCTTAAAACTTAAAATTAAACTGCACCCTTAAAATTTTTCTGTGAGCTTAGATTTTGTTCGTGTGTAAGAAAGTAACGTGCTCATTTTTATTACAAAATTGTCAAACAGTTTAGGCAGTTTTAGCAAAAAAAAACCATTTTTATTTTGTAACTTCAAAGGGCTGTAACTTTTTTTGTGTTCAATTTTGTACTAACGTAAGTTGGATTTAATTTAATAATTTAACTGCGTGGTATAATGTAAGACATATCTGTTTGAAACACCCTGTATAGAAATGTTGATAAATTGATTAAACGAATTTCAAATAATTTTTGAATGTCTGTGTGAAAGTGAAATAACATTTTTGTTTTTGTGCACATATTGGCCTGCTCACAAATTTCTTTTATATGAAAGTTTTCCTATATATTAAATTTTTTCAATTATTACTTGAAATTGTATTAATTTTAGTAGATATATTTTTCGCTTCATTACTCGTTTTGTATTTATAGTAAATATTTTTACAACCTTCACCAAATAAAGGAGAACTTCAACTGTATTAGGTTTTTTTTACGATAATCTAATCAATTTCGAGCCGATACTAACGGATTTTTCGGATCATAAATTCACCAAAAACAGTCTCAATTACATGTTTCTGCTGATAGAAAAATCATTTCAATTCTATAACACAATATTCAATAGAGCAGATAATTGATGACATAATTATTAAAAAAAAACTGACTTCCTTTTGAAAACGAGATCTGTGTTTGATTTTAAAACTATTTTGGAGATATATTTATTATTTTTTATATTCTTTTTATTAGTCAATAATGTTGTGGGACTTATAGTTATTGTTTCGACCAAATGAGGTCGCAATTTGTAACGCAATCATAGCATGAAGAAGTTAAATGATATATATAAAAGAACTGTATATATAAATAACAAAAAATAGAAGTATTAAAAAAGATACAAAATACGTTTTATTAAAACAATCTTTCGAACTGATCAATTTAATAATTCTGCCTACTTTCCACCCCATATATATACACAAAAATTCGCACTATTGCACATTTCGTGGAAACCCGCAGTCTTTTTTAACACATAGATTCCGCTAAAGCTGGTTGGGGAGCACTGTAGGGTCCAGCCCACGGTTGGAGATTCTGCAAGGCGCTGAGCGCTGTGTCTCCAGGACCGGGTTGAGGGGGTGGGCCTTCGCTCATGTAGCCCTTTGATAGGGCCTCGGCTTGAAGCGAAAGCATCAGTCTGTTTGCCGCTTGCCGCTCGGCTTCGCGTTCTTCGGCCGTTTGTCGCCTGCAACAAAAAAAAAACAGTTAATACGATTTCCATTTACTGAAATACTAAGAACTAATATATCTAATATTATATTGGACTATACTTTACTTGTGTGACCTCTATATTTAGTTTTATTATTATATATTGGTCTGTGTTTGTCATTATTGGTCTATATAACCCGACAAGCGAGAGCTGACGGGTTGCGCGTAGAACAAATTGAAAACTGGAAGGGATTGCTCATTTCTATTGCAGTCGGCTAGGAGTTCACATCGTGTATAACCGTTTAAGTACCTATACTATATACCTATAATCGCGATTAAGTACCTCTCCTATTTCTCTTAGAATAATTCCTTTTCTATTTTCGCGCAGCTCACCCGCCAGCTCTCGCTTGTCGGATTATACTAATCTACAGGGTGTTTCAAAAAAAGATAACCCCGTCTCTAGTGTAGCTAAAAAATGAAAAATAATTGGGGTTTGCTTAGTAAAAAATGTTTGTAATGCCATCTCTTTGTATCTCATTTGTTTGTAACACTCTTAAAAAAGTTATATTGACTAATATTTAGTACGATCCGTGTAACTAGCGCCCTCTATGAGAATCAGATATAAAAACAAATTCATGGGATGTATCAGCTTCCAAAACATATTCGTATAAAATTTCATTACAATGTTGCCACTAGTTTCGGCAAAATCGTAAAAAATGCGTAAATTTTTTTTCTTCAATGCCCTGTATCTTGAAAACGGATGGCGTTACAAAAATTTTTTACTAAGCAAACCCCAATTATTTTTCAATTTTTTACCTACCCTAGAGACGGGGTTACCTTTTTTTGAAACAACCTGTAGGTTTCATTTTTAACAATACTTCACTACAATACTATTAAGCAGTAGGTTTTTCAGCTTTTATTGCTTGCTTGTATTTCTTCCGCATTTGACAATATTTAATCCAATTTTTAGTAGTGTTGCTTTACAATCGTAGAGTTTTTTTTTTTTGATTAAAAAGAAAAACAATGCCGCATCCACCAACAGGTTATTAGCGGAGTTACTTAGTAAATAAAACTTTAAATCTGATACAAAATATTGATTGACCTTAGGTAATTTAATAAGTTTTTTACGGGACAGTTTTCTCCTAATAAATCTGGTAGAGTATTTGGTATATTGTTTATTAAACGTTCTCTATGGAATTTTGGACACTCAATTAACAAATGCGCGACGGTAAGAGGCGTAGCACATAGGTCACACAGGGGGCGTTCACTGACCGAAAGTAAATAAGAGTGTGTGATCTTAGTGTGTCCTATACGTAGGCGCGTTAGAACCGTTTGAATAAACCGTATACTAGCACTAGTTTTCCACTGTCGTGTATCTGGTTTTAGTGATCTTAATTTAGATTGCGATAGAAACCATTCGCGCTGCCACTCATCACTTTGCACCAATCACTTTTTGTTTAAAAAACGTTTTGAGATCTTTACATACACTGACACGCACTAATTCAGATTCCGCACTTGTTGCTGCATCACCAGCACTACTGCCTGCCTCTTCATTGCCGATACTTCCAATATGCGATGGGGTCCATATAAATTTAGGGGTTATGTGGTTCTCTTGGGCGATTTGTAGTTCAGTTTTTATTAGTTGCTCTAGGGGCTGTTTAGGATACAGATGCTGTATTGCAAGAAGAGAGCTGAACGAGTCCGTGAGAAACAGAGGTTTTGAAATTGTTAAGAGGTTTGCATATTTTAGGGCACGGTACAAAGCAAACAATTCAGCGGTGAAAAAACTTGAGCTAGGCGGTAGTTTAAATTTGAAAGTAGACGTTGGAGTAACAAATGCACAACCAATGCCTTCATTAGATTTAGAGGCATCGGTAAAGATATTTGTGCAGTTAAGGTAGTCTCGTTCAAGAATCTCGTTTAGTTTGTTTTTAAATAGTATGTTGTTATTGTATTTTTTGGAGAACTCTATTAGAGAAGTGTTGCAATTTGGGATGTTTATTAACCATGGAGCCGGATGTTGGATGTTACACTGAAATACGTTTGGGATTATTGTATCCAATCGTAGGGTTGTTTTCTGAAATTTTGAAGTTGATGATTAAACCATAGAATAGCACATTTTCTGCTATTTACGTTCTTTAAAGGAAAACAAATGCTGTATTTTTCACACATATATCTCATAAACAACTCTGTCATGTTGGTTGAAATACAGTGAATATCGTCAAACACAGTCCAACCTTTGGATTTAATTTTTTCCACAAATTTCTAATAATTTTTTCATTAATTAATCTTTTTTTAGTTTTTTCTACAATTGTAGACAAGTTTTTTTAAACTACTTATAATAGCAAATATACCTAAATGATCAGATACTACACGTAGACATCTGTATTAAATTTTTTTTTATTGTGTTATTGCCTCGACAACTAATGGTCATTGGAATGGTACAGTCAGGTACCTAGTGTAGTGTGTGTGTAGAGTAATTGTCTTGATACTTAGCAATGTCGACGTCATTGTCTTTGCTAAGAGACGCTAATTGTATCCGAACGTCTGCGGTCCCTCCGGTGAGTACCGATAGCACAAGGATAGAAATTATTTTCATTCAATAATTTTTATTAAACGAAAATTTCTCCACCCAGGTGAGATTCAAACTCACGACCTTTAGGTTTAAAGGTAGACGCTCTTACCACTGAGCCACAGAGGGGGTCGTATTTAAATTGAGTTCATTAATATTAGTAAATATATTATCAAGGCAAGGGCTTGAAGTAAGTGAAACTCTTGTGGGTGCTTTTATGAAATGTTTTAAGCCGTACATGGTTAAGAAATTTCGTATTTCACAAACTTGAGTATTGGAAAAAAGTAAAATAGAAGAAAAGTGAAAAATTGTATGAAATCAAGAAGATACGTTAGAGCAGAGAGCTAATTAACCATGATTCTGAGAACATATGACGTCTATAAAGTATTTTAGCGACAAAAAATAATATTTATAAGTAATGTAATAAATATTTCAAGCGTTATTTATCCATTTATAAGGGTGCATAAATAAACGTTTTAGTTATTTATGTGCCACTATATCGAATTCCTAAAGTGTAAAAAAGCTTTCATGTAAATCACATCAGCAACCATGTCACCACGTCGAGCCTGAGTCACGCTAAATAACAGGATATAAGACAGGTTAAATACCTATGTATACACTTATAAAATAACACTTTTCCATCATGAACGAAACAATACAATCAAATTAAGGAAGGCGACTATTAAAAGGTACATGTGGCGTTACTTAAGCACAACAAGTCCGAATCGAAGGCGGAAGAGGAAAGTTACTCCACTGGACACCGTTTTAAACCTTTTAATTGTTCTCCGTGAGTAATATGAAGTGATAGCGTTGATTATTGAAAGGTTTTAACAAATGCATTTGCAGTGGCGAAGATAAATGAACAGTAACAAGGTTTTTCTGACTAATTTTTATATATACTTTGTTTGAATCGGGAATAAAATAAAAATCGATTATTTTCGTTCATGTACAGTATTTATAAATATGAAAAGCTTGGAAGATAAGTCACTAGGGAAGTCAGGAAGGTATATACACCTAGGAAAAAATATGAACTACCGCCATTTGACATTTCAATTATATTTTGCCAAATTATTATTATATTTTTTCAAAATTGCCAAAATATTGGTTGCTGAAATTTTAAGATAATATTTAATAAACAAAATAATTTAAAGCTTTACGTTAGTTTAGATTTAAACACCTAGCGAGACCTAAGAAAGAAATCTGAACTATTACCTATTGACATAATAACTACCACAATAATCTTATATGAGAGATAAAATGTAAAATATTTATTTGCCAAATAAAGTACCGAATTTTAACAATAAGATAAACCAAAGAGAATTGAAGTACTATTGTAAAAATAATACCTGAATCAACCATGGGAGCTTACCGTCAATACCTTGCTAGCTCAGTATCTCAAAGATGAGTTCGTCTTGTCTTAAAATAGGGATTGAACCTGAGTTCTTAGCTGATAGCAAATAAAACAGATCTTAACCAAACATATTTATTAAAAATGATAAAAAAACAATAATTAACCCCGCCAAATTCGTGATACTTATTGCTTCGATGGACTGCTCTTGTATTGTAGATGTTAGGTCCTCCAATTAAATGTTGTGTCTTCTGGAGCGCTGCAGCACCACGTGGATGTAGGTCCTGATGAAGTTGTTAATAAATGTCGGTTTCTTTTATAAATTTTAAAAAGAGGCAAAAATTAATCCCACCATTAAAGATGATTGACAGAAAATAGGAAGGGACTTTGAAGTTAGCACAGATGTCATAGGATGTTGCTATAAATATTATGAACTTAGCTTGTCTGTCAACACAGAACAAAATATTTAGTCTGCCGGACAGAAAGAGAGAGGGCGAATATTTATTCTACGGGACAGAAAGAGAGAGAAAATAAAGACAGAGGAAGAAAAGAAAAACAGAGGGAGAAAGAGAGGGCGCCAACTACTTTTTAAATAAAAAAAATAGTAAAAATGAAGCTGAAGGTAAAAGAATTAATAAATTATTAAAGAAATTAAAATGAAATAATTATTTAAATATAAATTAATAGAAACGTGGCGTTTATACGTTACACAATAAGAACTTATTTCGAAGTTAAATTGTGTTTATTGTAGTCTGTTATTATGTTGTAGGTTATCGCGAAATCGGAAATATAACCTAAATATTGTTGTTTATCGTGAAAGAGAGATATGAATTCGGTATTAGAAGATTTAATGAAATCGAATATGATGTTTAATGTTTATAAACTTATATGAATTCACCCAGTATTTCCAATTTTGTAAAGTATTACTCATTTTTTTTTATAAGAAAATAAACTACATTTTATACTAAATCTCGGAATCCGACAAACACTAATAAAAGCAGTTAAAGCACTGTACAAAAAAAGCAAAGTAGCTATTAAATGTGAAAATAAAGCCTACAATCCATTTAAGACGACAAAAGGACTTCTACAAGGCTGTGCTACGTCCCCTACTCTGTTTAAAATATTCTTGGAAAAGACACTCAAACCATGGAGGAGAAAGTGTATAGAATGGGCATACCAGTAAGAGACGAATACCTATACACCTTAAGTTTTGCCGACGATCAAGTATTCATCGCACAAGATGAAGAAGATCTCAGCTTTATGCTCAGAAAACTAGAAGAGGAATATAAAAACAACGGAATGGAAATAAACTTAGAAAAAAACCGAATACCTAACAACAGAAAACAAGGATATGAGAAACCTAGAGATAGACGAGGGAAGACAAGTAAATGGAACAGATAAATTCAAGTATTTAGGAACCATAATATCGAACCAGGGAACAACAGAAGAAGATATAAACAACAGACTAAGACAAACAAGAAACTGCATAAGACAACTAAATTCAGTGCTGTGGGATAAGAGCATTACGATAAAGATAAAAAAGAGAATATATAATACCCTGACAAGAAGTATCCTGACATATGGGTCCGAAAATTGGACAATAAACAAGAGAAATAGAGGTAGAATAAGAGCAGTAGAAATGGAGTTCCTGAGGAGAAGCTGTAGACTTACAAAAAGAGACAGAATTGAAAACGCAGATATTAAGCGGAGAATGGGAGTGCAATCAGACATAATCGACTGTATAGAGGAGAAGAGACTCTCCTGGTACGGCCACGTCAGAAGAGCGGACAGAGGACGCTGGATAAACAAAATTACAGAATGGAGCCCGTTCGGAAGAAGAAAGAGAGGAAGACCCCGAAGGTCATTCAGAGACGAAATCGACGAGGCTATGGAGAAAAGAACATTGCGAGATGGAAACTGGAATGACAGGGAAAATTGGAGAAAACGGTTGAGTGAAGGAAGACAGTGAAAACTGTGGAAATCCTTAGTAGTAGTAGTAGTTATACTAAATCAGTTTAATTACTATAAAAAGAAAACAATAAAAAATGTTACAAATGCTTGAAATTAACAAAAATGCAAAAAACACGAACAGATGAAAACATGCAATGATTGACTAAAGAAAGATACAGTTTTGTTCTACAGTTAGGTTCGCCAAATAAAGCCCGGTTCCTAATAAAGCCCACTCGCCCATATTCCTCAGAATGGACATATAATGGCAGTATGCTGCAATGTACAGATGCAGTAGAGCCATCTAAGTGCAAATTGTTACACTAAGTTGAGCAGCGACGCGAACTGTCGCTTTTATATGATCATTCGTTTACAGTGGTCAATGGGTAAACATCCAATCTAATATTGAGATTAGTATGCTTTTGTAATTTAATACGATTATGAGTGCGATTTTTTTTATTTTGCATGACATTTGTGTACTTATTAGTTGTACTTTCATAGTACCTGAATTACCTTATGTTTATTAAAACGTAAATAATGGTAATTTCTAAAAACATTCATCACTTACAGTATTGCTAATAAGGCCCGGGTGGGTGAGAAAGGAAGTATGACTACGCCAGTTTTCATTAAGTGGGTACAACATTTTGCTAAGTACAAGCCAATAGGAAGAATACTGCTTATTTTTGACGGAGCATCGTCCCATCTGGATGCAGGTATTGTTGATGAAGCCGAGTCGCATGAAATTACGCTTTTTTGCCTGCCAAGTAATTGCACACATGAACTGCAACCTATGGACAAGGCGGTATTTAAAGCCTTCAAATCTTACTGGGACAACGAAGTTATCACCTACTGGACAAATAAACCAGATCAAACGATCAATAAATTTTCGTTTGGCACAATTTTCTCAAAAGTATGGCCAAAAGCAACTACAGCATCAAATGTTATTTCAGGTTTTCGTGCTACGGGAATATACCCGTATGATCCGAGTGTCATTCCAGACATAGCTTTTTGCCCAAAAGAAATAACAGAAAATAAATTAGACTCGGAAGATTCTGCTATTCCATTAGCTTCGACTTCCGCGACGAATAATCCTATTGGCAGCTCCACTCCAGACAGAAAAAAGAAAATAAAAGCTCTAAAGGAGAAAAATACGCAAGATAGCTCTGAGAGTTCTGACGGTTCTGACAATGAATTTTCAGTACATGACAGCTCAGAAGAAGAAAACGAAATGTCAGTAAGTTTTAACGCAGTGTTAATAACAACAGAATTGGAAACTGGAAAACGCAAAGCTGCTAGAAAGAAATCCCTGAACTATCGAGCACAGGAAGTCACAAAATCATTGTTTGATGAAGCTGGTTTAAATGACCCTAAAAACCAATCAAGAAAAGGAAAAAACTTGGCAAACGGAAAAATAGTCAAAAAACAACTAAAAAAAGGAGAAGAGAAAAATAATCACAGCTCACTTGAAACCTCAAAAAACAAAGAAGAACGAAAAGATAGTTGGTATTGTTTCGTCTGCAATGAGGATGTCGTTAAGGGTATGAGACTTTGTGACAGCTGCAAAAGATATATCCATGAAGAGTGTGTAGGACTTTCAGCAGATGATAAAGACTTAGTTTTCATATGTCCAGACTGTTTGCAATAATTATTTTAAGTACCTATTATTTTTTACAAAATAAATGTCCTACATGTCACCTTTGTTTAATTTGATTAATGTATAGTTGCACCAATAGACCTTAAGCTTAAGACGTACGTGGAACGTCAATGAGACATAAACTGAACTGGGCTAAACTGGAGCTGAAGATCTGTTGGTGCAATTAGGCATAATGGTCACATTTAAAAAGTGGGCCTTATTAAGAACATGGTGTTCCTAATTAGGCCCAGAAGCAACTATTTTTTAAAGACTAAAAAGTAACAACTCATAAAACTTTTAACAAAATTTAACAATCTCATATTAAATTTAAATATGTGATTTATTTTCTCTGTGGTTTTCAGATTTATATCGTGATTTTATTTATCAAAAAACAACTAACAAATATTAAGTGGGTCTTATTTGGTCAACTTACCTTACTCAAATCGTCAACTTGTTCTTGAGGTAAGTTTGTAGTATAAACGTCATCTAATATATTTATAGTAGAGTTTAGTTATGCTTCGTCTATAAACAAGCGGTAATCGTTACTAGGTATAGTAATATTATCTATAGACTCGACTGGAAAGATTAAAATTAAAGAAGTTTAAATATCAATTATTTTCTATATGTATATTTGACAAACGTTCAAAATACAAATAACTGCTATTAAATGATTGAGATATTGTTCATTGACTTTAATATGTCATTCTTTCCCATGTCTACAACATACTATTAATTCTTCTCTAAAGGCACCAACTGGCATTCCAATTAAGTTTTGTCTTCTTCTTCAAGGTCTAATGTAGCGACGAAATAAAAATCAATACATCTTAAATTGTAGCATTAAAGAAAACAACCGCAGCTGACGTGGACAATCAGCAAAACTATATAATATAAAATTGCCTCCGGGTGTATTTTGAGACCTACCAGACCATATAATAATGTGGGAGGATCAGCAATTGCCAATTGACAACCATATGTGTTTTATCTGAACGAAATGAAAAGTTCTTCGACCGCATTGTGTTTTGTATTGAGAAAAGGAAGATAAAATAAAAAATTAATGAAACAATTTATTGTATTATATAATCAATTTTTAGTTTTATACATCTATAATTTTAATTAATTACTATATTACTATAGAGGCATTACTCTGTTAGCATCTGCCTATAAAATCGTCGGCAATTTATTTTTTAAAATACTTAAACATTTCACAAATTCACAAACAAATTCAAGCACATAGACAGATTCTATAGTGTATTTTTATGAATGAGAGAGTAATAAAACAATAAATTATGTATGCAAATCCCTAAACTGTTGATACGGGTGACTCAATGAAAAACAGATATTTGTCAACAAGTTTACAGAAGTATATAGGAAAACAATTTTAAATTGAGTATGACCACCAGGTATAAAGGTTGGAGCAGAATAGAATACAATAGTTGTGAGGGTTACTAATCCCTAAATAAGGTTGCCAGTGTCGGAGTGATGGAGGTTAACAGGTACTAATGAATTTGCAAGAAATGTAAGATGTTTATTTTATTGGTTATATATAACCAATAAAAGTTTAATAAGTACCTACCTATTTGCAAAATAAAGTTTAATTCTTTAAATAAAATAAAACGTTTTATTTTATCTGAAATGAGTGCATTCCACGAAGTAAGGGTTTCAACAATCAAACATTTAATTCTTTAATTCCAGGAATCTACGACAGTAATTGACTAGATAATTACCTTCTAAACTTATTCCACAGAAAATGTGATAGTGGGTTTTTCCAGTTTGTAGGAAGGTCCAAGTGGCGTATTCAAAATTCTTAACAGTTCACTAAAAGTAGGTACTTCAGTTGCAAGGTGCAGTTTATTGTGTATACTAGTGTTATGGAAAATTTGGAAGTGCCCTGTAAACGCCGAAAAATTGGTCCTTTAACAGTTAATAAAAAACATTAATATTTAATTGTTTTAAATCATTTACACACAAACGTTTATGTGAAAGTGTTGATGAGACCGTTGAGTTAGTTAGCAGTACACTTGGTGTTGCGAAATCTACGATTTACAGAGTTATTAAAGAAGAGAAATGTGGTAGTTTTCAAATGCCACGTAATGCTCCAGGGAAACCAAAATTTCAAATAGAATATCATTTTAAAGAAGGACTTCGACGGAAAGTGCATGAATTCTTCTTTAGACAAGAATTTCCAACATTGGATAAAGTTCTTGTCTCAGTTCGAGATGATAAGGATTACCCAGAAATGAGTCGAAGTACGTTATGGAAACTTTTAAAAGAAATAGGCTTCCGCTGGAAAAAGAATCTCAGAAAGTTTATTTTATTAGAAAGAAGCTATATTGTCCTATGGAGAAGACATTTTCTAAGAACCATAAAGGAAATGAGAAACCAAAAAAGAAAAATATTTTATCTTGATGAAACATGGATCAACGAGGGTCATACACCAAATAAATTTTGGCAGGATGAAACTGTTACAAGTCAAATTCACGCTTTTGTAAATAACTTATCTACTGGTTTAAACCCACCATCAGGAAAGGGACGCAGGCTGATAATAGTACACATTGGCAGTTCAGACGGTTTTGTTGAAGGTGGTTTATTAACTTTTGATTCAACTCGTACCGGTGACTACCATGAAGACATGAACGCTGATGTCTTTCAAGAATGGTTCGAACAAATGATAGATCTTCTTCCTAAGAACTGTGTAATAGTAATGGATAATGCAAGTTATCACTCCAGACTTATAGAAGGACTGCCCACAACCAAGTGGTTAAAAAAAGACTTGCAGAATTGGCTGAGTTCAAAAAATATTACGTACCATCCCGGATCTATAAGAAAGGAACTTTATTCGTTGTGTGCCCTTCATAAAGAAAAGTTTAAAAAATACGAAATTGATGAAATTGCCAAAATCGTGGAATGACAATACTTCGATCCCCACCATATCATTGTGAATTAAACCCGATTGAACTGGTATGGCACAGATAAAGAGTGAAGTTTCAAGAAAAAATACCACTTTTAAAATTAATGATGTTAAACAGTTGTTTTTGGAGGCCGTAAATAATGTAAAACCTGAAAACTGGGAAAAGGCAGTAAATCATACTATTAAAGAAGAGGAAAAAATGTGGAAGCTGGACAATATTACTGATAAAATGATCGAGCCAGTTATTATAAATCTTGGTTCTGAAAGTTCATCTTCTGAATCTGATTTGGATTTGTAACAAGTAGCTGTAAGTTTTATATTAATATTTTTATTCATCTATTTAACATACCTTAGACGGTTTTAAAAACTCTTTTTCTCTTTTGTAATTTTTAAAAATTAAAAAAAATGTGAATTTTTTAAAACCCTTTTTAATGTAGGCCAGTCAGTTCTAATATAGTGTGTGATAAAAGAACTCACTTTTGTTTACATACACATAACACTTTATAACACTGAAATAATTCATTTATTTTTTACAATTATTCAAAGTAATTGTTCAATTAATCTTAAGCACGCCCATGGAGTGGTAGAAGGTACCAGTTAAAATTATGCTATTAATTATTACTCTCTCGTTCATAAAAATAAACTATAAAAAGTCACTGGAATATAACATAGATACACACCATCCCTTCGTCGACTTCAAAGCAGCCTATAACAGTGTGAAAAGAACTGCATTATATAATGCAATGATAGACTTTGGGATCCCACCTAAGTTAGTTAAGTTGACCCAACTAATAATGCAAAACGTAAGCTAATGCATTAGAATTGTGTTTACTCTTTAATATTGCCTTGAAAAAGGCAATCAGACATTTAAATATTAGAATGAATGGAACTATTTTTAATACGACATGAGAGACATACTGCAGTGTTTTACGTAAGAGTTAGACATAATGCTTGTTAACGCGGCAAGTGAATTAGTACAAGAGGAAAAAAACCAAATATATGTTGGTTTCTAAAAACCCCCGAAATATCCAACAGAGCATTCAAATTAACAACCATACCTTTGAGCAAGTCAAATAATTCACATATCTTGGATCGCTAGTAAACGCAACAAACACGACAAGCACCGAAATAAAAAGACGCATAGCAATAGCAAACAAAATTGGTTTTTTTCCCACATATCTCCTACATTTTCTGGACTAGATACCATTTGGTTGTTATCATCTACTAAAGTTGTTGTAGTGATTTTTTTCTTCATATTTGTGACTTCCTTAATCTTTTTGTATGCATTAAAGTAGTCATGATTTTTAAGTAATCTCCTAATTTCTCACAGTTGCTGCTCATCCATTCTTCATTGTCTTTCCTAATTTTGTTTCGGATGATTCTTTGGGTTTCTTTATATTTTTCTTCATTGCAATTTTTGTAAGATCTTCTTATGTTCATTAATTCTAGGATTTCTTCTGTCATCCATGTATTCTTATTTTTTGTGATGTTGTCTTGAAGTAGTTCTCTTTGTATAGTTGTGATTGTTGTTTTGAAGATGTGCCCAATATTTTCTATTGTTTCTTCTGCTTCCGCGGGTGCTCACTGAATTTTTCTTTGAATGTATCATTTAGTGTTTTCTCTATTTCTGGCTGTACTATTGGATCGGATAAGTTTTTTCGGCGCTAGGATTTATCTTTTCTCTGTATTTGATTTTCTTTAGTTTAATTGAAATTTTACCAACAACAGGATTTTGGTTGGAACCGATGTCCGCCCCGGGGTATGTTTTAACTCCCCTGATTCCATTTCTATGACGTTTCTCAATTAATACATATTCAATCTAGTTTTTTATTATGCGGTTTTGATTATCGACAGGTGTTTTCCACGTATATCTTCTATTTGGTTGTTTAAACCAGGTGTTTGCAATCATTAGATTTTTTTCTTGGCAAAATTGGAGCAGTATTTCTCCTCTGTCATTTCTGTGGCCCAAACCAAAGTTTCCTACGACGTCTTCGGTCCTCCCTTCATATACTTTGACATTAAAATACCCCATAACAATGTTTACAGCATTTTTCTCTCAATCACTTGATAGAATTCTCGTACTTCTCTTTCTGGTGTTTCTGTTGTAGGAGCATATACTTAAATAAAGTTAATATTACGAGGAGTGGTTTGAATTTGATATTGATTTGTAGCATAGCTACTCTATCAGATATAGGTATAAAGTTCTTTATACATTTACTGCTTTTCTGGTCAACTATAAATGCCACTCCGTTATAATGATGAGGATCGTCAATACCAGCATAGTATATTACATGATTATCGATGTTTGTCTGTCCAGATCCAGGACATCAAACTTGACTGACTCCGAGAATGTTGACCCATTCTTTTCATTTCTCTCAAGATGTTATGAGATTTTCCTGACATGAAGAGAGATTTTGCATTCCAGATTCCAATTTTTTCTATAGTTTATTTTTATGAACGAGAGAGTAATTAGCATAATTTTAACTGGTATCTCCGACCACTCCATGGGGTGCTCAAGATTAATTGAAAAATTACTTTGAATAATTGTAAAAAATAAATGAATTATTTCAGTGTTATAAAGTGTTATGTGTATGTAAACAAAAGTGACCTCTTTTATCACAAACTATATTAGAACTGACTGGCCTACATTAAAAAGGGTTTTAAAAAATTCACATTTTTTTTAATTTTTAAAAATTACAAAAGAGAAAAAGAGTTTTTAAAACCGTCTAAGGTATATTAAATAGATGAATAAAAAATATTAATATAAAACTTACAGCTACTTGTTACAAATCCAAATCAGATTCAGAAGATGAACTTTCAGAACCAAGATTTATAATAACTGGCTCGATCATTTTATCAGTAATATTGTTCAGCTTCCACATTTTTTCCTCTTCTTTAATAGTGTGATTTACTGCATTTTCCCAGTTTTCAGGTTTTACATTATTTACGGCCTCCAAAAATAACTGTTTAACATCATGAATTTTAAAAGTGGTATTTTTTCTTGAAACTTCACTCTTTATCTGTGCCCATACCAGTTCAATCGGGTTTAATTCACAATGATAT